TCACACAAAGTTCTGCTTTAAGGAAACAACCCTTCAGCACAAGTAACAAGGCATAGAAGCCTGAGATCTTCTTTACCAGCTCTGGTCCAGCACAGGGACAAGGCCCTATTGTACCCAACTCATGATACTATAGGTTCTAAGTGCAGATGTGCCCAAAGTACACACACCCGGCCTGCTCCTCTGCTCACCTCTGGCTCCATTTCTGTCCTGGTGGCTTCCTGTTTTTGCTCTTCAGATGTCTGCACAGTGCAGAACTCACTGACAGTCCCCATGAAACAGGCCTGGGGAGATGCCATTTCACAGACCCTTAGCAAGGATGGGGCTAAATGCACTGGTTGGAATTTACAACCTACAATTTTCTGTAACATTGTTCCCAGGGTGGGGAGGTAGAGAAGGAACAAAAAGAAAAAAAAAGAAAGCTAAGAGAAGGAAATATAATTTCAAATTCATTTATGATTTATCTGTTCCCTCCCTGTGGCTGCAGAGGAATCTTAGCTCTGCTGCAAGATGGCCATGCTGTCGGAGGTTGCATGCCACGGAGCCGCAAACAACTTGGGCGGTGTTAACCCCTCATTTGCTGGCTGCTTCCCGCCCTCACTCTGCTGCTACGCAGCCTGGCGTTTGGTTGATATCAGCCACTGGGCAGGACATCACAGGCCTACTGAGGCACAGAGGTGGGTACACTCAGAAAGAGTCTTTCTCCGCAGAAAGACTCACTCCAGTCCCCACACAAACAAAATTCTCTGGAGCCAAAATGAAACAGAACAGGTTTGAAATCTGTGTCTTTGCCACTTCTGCTCCTTTCTCCTTCATCCAATGCCTTCCCTTTGAAAGGCTGTAAAGCCCCGAAGGGAGGCGAGACAGCAGGGCGAGGAGACTTTCAGAAATGTCAGTTTCCGTGTTAGCGAGCGGAGGCAGTAGGGCCAGTCAAATGCTCCGGGGCCTCCTGTGTTGCTTGCACCAATGGGCTCTATCTACTAAGATATCATCAGCACCTCAACTCTGCGTTGCCCCACAGTTTACAGAAGCCCTTCCTCATACATCTCCCCATTCGACCTGCTTCTGCCATTTAACCAAGGGTCCTTTAACTTCCAGAAGGAAGGGCACAGAGACCTTGGAAGGAGTGGACAAGGCCGTTAATCAGTGGTCTCCACATGCAAGTGAGGGGAGGCCGATGTGTACAGCTGAGCATCAGATTCCAGGTAGCGCACAAGACGTGTCCCAGGATGAAGGAGTTAATGCCAATGTCACCGGGCAAAAGCAACATGGGGAAAATTCATTCCCATAGTCTGGCCTTCGACAAGCATCCGTCTATCTATACGTTCAGCTGAGCTTCCCCATTCCATTCTGCACGGCGAACAATCGTTGTTTAAAAATGTCACAATAAGAATCAGCTTTTGTGGCAAAGATATGAAAACTGTATTGCAAGATCAAAAGGGTGATACTGCCTTCCAGCAGATTACCCATTCTGCCCAGAGAAAGGCTAATCTCATGTCCTCAGAGAGGAAATAGGTAAACATTTTCAACATTATCTCCATCTGTGTTTCATTTCTTTGGGCCTGCTCAAGAAAAAGTTACTTATGTATAAATAAAGAATGATTTCTGTCCTTAAGAAAATAGTAATGGAAGCCTTGAAGTATCTGTTTTGGGTTTTACAATCTCAGCCAGTGTATCTGAGAGGAAACATGGATGCCGTCACGCAACCTTCTTGGGGAAGAGATAGCCATACTCCTCCCATTTCCACTCCATCTGCACCCCAGCTTGAAGTTTAGTCTTGGAATTGGCCAAGGTAGTGTCCCACCCCACACTGTTCTCAAGGGGAGAACAGACTCTCCTGATGGTAACTCCAGAGACGTGCCCTGGGGCTGGAATCCCCGCCTCTCCACATCCGGCAAGACTTTTGTCCTGAGTCTGACCCCAGCTGTGAAATGGGGATGACCTGGCCTCAGCAGGATGATGGGCAACTGCTGGCCACTTAGGAGGCCCTCACAGACAGGAGGGGATGGCATGACTGTCCTTACTGGCAAGAGTACTGTCATTAAACACAGGATGGGGTGAGGGAAGGAAGAGCACTTTGAAACCTGCATCTTTTTAGATGATTTCAGCAAGGGTTTCCTGAATGACCTACTGTGTGCTTAGGCCTTGGCCAGCCTTCTGGGAAGGACATGAAACGTCCCGACGGAGCACTGGACCAGCAGGGGATGGAGGACAGGTACACACACCGCCACACTCTAGCAGGGGCGGGCAGGGAGAGCCAGAGGGAAAGGGAGTTGTCCCAGCTTCTCTCACCTTGAAAGTTTTCAAGTGGGCTGGTGCTGACGGACAGCTCAGATCTCAGCGTCTCTAGGGGATGGGGCATTGTCATCTCCCCTTCTCCCAACAGACCCATGGGCTGAACCTTCCAGGGGAACTTTCAGCCAGCAGGCTTCTGGAAACTGAGGGGATTTCACTGTTTTCTCCTGTTCCCTTGGGCCTGAGAGGCTAATGCAAAGGGCACATATGTTAATTCTGAAGCTGAGAACATGGAGCAAGGCAAACCCACCAAGTGTTCCCCAGTGCTTTCCGACCACCCTGGATCCAGGGAAGGGGTGGGGAGGGAGACTGCCCATCAGCAGCCACCCTGCCAAGAGCCTACACCTGGAGTTAATACCATAGCAAGAGCCACTCAATACTTGGGACATCAAGTGAAATTAGGATTAAATCTTTGAATTTTAGATTTGAAAGAAACATTTGTCTAGAATTTCAAGTATAAATTTAAAATTGTGTTATTTTAAAAACACTGTTTTGCTCTCAGAAATCTATAAGCTTGAGTAAATTCAATCAATAGATATTATCAAACATCTGCTGAGGGAACTGTAGAGAACTAAAAACAAAACAATATAGTCCTTGTCTTCAAGCCGTGTAGCCTGAGGCAACGGGTCAGACAGAAGAGGAAAGAGACACATGAGTTCCCAGTGTCCGAGGCTGCCTCTCGACAGAGGGCATGGCGAGGCCATGAGGGACCATGCCAGCCTAGGCTCTGTGATGGGAGATACTTCGGTGTTTATTTCTTGTTTTACCCTTGATGGGCTCTGGGCCATGCACACTTGACGAGCGAACTATGTTTTTGGATGACTACCTCCCCTTTCCTTCATCAAGGATTCTCCCCCTCCCCACCATGGAGAGGGTCCTCTGTGCCACAGTACTCTGGCCAACCAGGGCAGCGACAAAGCTGCAGGGGGTGACAGCGCCCCCTGGTGTGGAGCTCTGCCAGCTCCCCGCAGGCTCCTCCACAGTCTCAGTTCCTGCGCTCCTGCTATTTCCAGCTCCTTTACTTTCACCTTGTTGTTCTCTCTCACAGGAACACACATTTCTTCTCTCTTCATCCTGTCTGTGAGCTCCACGTGTCTACTCCCAGAGAAGTCTAACAGTAGTCCTAGGCCCCAACTTCATTTAAAAAAGAAGGAACAGGACATATTTTATAGTGAAACTGGGGAAAATAGACATCCAATGGTGCCCAACACAACCTGGAAGACCATGAATGTATTTGATAGTCTCTTTGGAAACTTCCCAAAGGCCTTATTCTCCGGGTCGGGGGGGCCTGGGTTCTTGTCTCACTGGCTGTGTGACCTCCAGCCAAATACCGCACCTCTCTGAACCTCAGTTTCCTCATTTGACAAACGAGGGCTTGAACTCAACCATCACTCAAACCCTTTCCATGCTTGCACGCTATGTGGTTAGCTTCTCACCTACCTTCACGTTACCCCAATCAAGGAGAAAAGAAAAACAATTTTCTCTTCAATGTTTCTGTTTTACTTATAACACTGGGGCCCCTAATATTAACCACATATGTATGGTATTTTTGGCTACATTAAGGGTTAAATAAAGTTTTGGAGACTTGTCTAGAAATCAACCTCCATTCTGGGAAATATGTCTGTGGAAAAAATGCATTTTAGTTTCCAAAGGTCCAAACAATGGCCTCACGACAGACGCCAGATGCTGGGAACAAAACCCTCTTGTGAATTGTGGACTGCTTGCAAAATCACTTACTCAAATTCCATCTGTCGACACTGCTCCACTATTAAAATTTCCAATCTAAAGGGAAAATGCCATAACTAGTGTGGGTTTCAATCCCGTGTCTCAATATTGGGACCTGTCATCCATCCTTCCTTGTCATAACAGATTGATTGCTTTCAGAAGTGGTTTTCAAGAACAACGGGTGATTCTCACATTCCCAGCAGTTTGGTCTCTTAATTCAATTCCTAAGTAGCTTACTGGGGCATTTACAAATTTCCTGTCCCATATCCCAACTTCCCAGTGTAATCTCCCAGTTTTAGCTCACCAACGTTTGCTGCTGCAGATCTGTCCTTGAAACATCTTGGGATGAATGCACATTTGATTTTTTCCCCCAAACCAAAAAAACTTCTAAATTTTCAGAGAAATTCTACTGCAGTTGTAGGCTGCAGACCCTGCGGGTGGCCGATGAGACACATCTGGGGGTTCACACATGTCACACTAGTGCCCTTGGAGATGGGCAGGCGCTCAACCCTGTTCACTGGTATGCTATTCATATCTAAGCATTTTATACTATTTAGATGATTTATTATGCTATTTGATCAGCTTGGGTAATGAATCTCATATATTTTCTTCATTTGAGAGCTCCACCCCTACCCCCAACACGTTTACAAAGAAAAGACCCAATGACCTAGGATGTTCAAATAAGAAAATAATTACACATTCTCACAACCATGCCTCGGAACCTTCCAGCTCTCAGCAAGAATGAGGAAAGCTCTAGGTCTATGCAGGTTTAGAGGAAGAGTACTGCCAAGCACATAACCCCTGGTCCAGCCACTGTACGGGAAGTAGACGATGGTCTCAGGCAATAAGAGGGGTATCTACTTTCACAAGACCATCTGGCCTCATTCTGAGTCATTCACAGGCGTCATCCAAGAAGGGGGCGGTGGGCGTGGAGAAATGCAGACATAGCTCTTCACAGCCACATCCTCACTGGGGCCAGACAGCCAGTGACACCTGCCCCTACAACGTCCCCTCCTGTCCCTGAGGCTCTGATGGCAGATGCAACCGTCTCAGAGTGAAAGCTGGCCAGGTAAGGGGCTGACCGGGTGCTCATGCACAGGCCTGCTGCATACAACCCGGAGGGGCAAGGCCCGGGGCCTCGGCATTTGCTTCTCCCCGACACTCTGGAGGTTTCCTGCAAAGAACTGCCAAGCTCTGACCCCTTTGCTGCCAGGGCTCTCCTTCCCCTCTCACTCACTCCTTACTTAGCTCCTAGCCTATTAACACTCCACTCTGCGCTCAGAATTCCATTCACTTCAGGCGGACTCCACGTAGCACATGTGAGGATGGATGGATCACTCTCTAACTTCCTTTGCACTCCAAATGATTCAAGACACCCCTGAAATCCCATTTCCATGTCAATGCTTGGCTCAGAAAGGGGCATATATCCCACCCCAGCCAATGAAGTGTGAGGGGCACTCTTCTGGGCACTGAAGAAGGATTAAGAGACTGTCTTTTCTTCCAGTGGATGTTGTAATGTCGAAGTGTGACTCCTGCAGGGACCAGAGAGATGGCAGAGCCAGCCCCTGGGGGATGGAGGGTGAAGGAGCCTGGTCCTTGATGATATCACTGATGGTTGGAGCCTGGGACCTGCCCTACCCATGGAGAGGTGTGAAAATATCTTTGCTTGAACCACTTTGAGTGGGGCTGTCTGTAACCTGAGAGAGCATGGTCTCAGCGATGGGAGACACGCTCCAGGGATTTCTTGCTCTCCTGGAGCTCACAGGCAAACAGGGTCTGGCCTTGATGTCTTTCCAGAGCCTGGCTGAGGAAGCCAAGTGAGTCCCCTTCTAGATCTCAGGAATTCAACCATCTTTACTACGCATGGGGCACCTACAAGAACTCACAACAGCCAGGGGCCACTCCAGTATCCTTAGTAACAGGGTGCTAGACCTCGCAGGTCAGTCTCCACCCTGTGAACACCTGGTGACAAAGACTTGACAAAATTTCAGTCAGGCTCCTTTGAATCCTCTTCTCCACTAGACCCTGGCCTCGGCTTGCTGAGCCTAGTTTTAGGAGAGAATCCTACTAGGCCAGTTTACCCAGAATCCCTCAACTCTTGATATTCTTTCAAGCTCCTGTCCCTCCACACCCTTGATACCTAACCAAGGTCCTCTTAGTAATGTTCCATCCCCTCCCTTACTCTTCCTGCAGGTTATAAATCCCTACTTGTCCCTGTTGACTTGGAGTTGAGGTGAATCTCTCTCTCCTCTACTGCAATAGTCTTTTTAAAAAAGTTTTTTTTTAATTTTTATACATTTTTTTTTCTGCTCTTTGCTCTCCTTTTATTTTTTTAAATTGAAGTAGAGTTGATGTACAGTATTATATAAAAGTTACAGGTATACAATATAGTGATTCACAATATTTTAAAGTTATACTCCATTTATAGTCATTATAAAATATTAGCTTTTTTCTCTGTGTTATACAATATATCCTTGTAGCTTATTTTATATATAATAGTTTGTACCTCTTAATCCCCTACCCCTATGTTGCCCTCTCCCTGCTTCTCTCTCCCCACTGATAACCACTAGTTCGTTCACTGTATCTGTGAGTCTGTTTCTTTTTTGTTATATTCACTAGTTTGTTGTATTTTTTTTAGACTCCACATCTAAGTGATATCATACAGTATTTGTCTTTCTCTGTCTGACTTATTTCACTTAGCCTAATACCCTCCACGTCCATCCATGTTGTTGCAAGTGGCAAAATTTCATTCTTTTTTTATGGCTGAGTAGTATTCCTGTGTGTGTGTGTGTGATCAACAGTATAAAACCTTCCTTGCTGTTTTTAGCAAGTGCTAGAATAATTTCTCCTGAACACTACCCATCATCCCCCCTCAGCATTCCATGCTTTGCTTTCCGATGGTTCAGGCCCAGGCAACAACGCACAGGAAAAGACGTGTTACCCAAAGCACCATCTCCTCTCTTATTTCGTCCTGGCCTCTCAACCTCCTGGTACAAAATCTTTACATAAATAGGGGACAGAGCTTTCCATACCACAGTGAGAATTAAGGTTTAAAGCACAGATAACCTGTGTCAAGGAGTTTGACTTAACACACACTGAGGTTGTAACTGGTGACACCTTTTCCTGAGAGCAGATGACAAGAGAATGAATACAAACGGCTGTCCACGAGACTAAATTAATAATTAAGGTGCTGTGCACCTGAAGGCAGGTAAGAGGACAGAAAGGACCAAAAAAGTAGGTGGAGGTCGACGAGGCAAGGACAGAATCCTTTACCTGCGTTACCAACTTGCTGCAGGGCAGCCTCAATCCTTCCTGCACCAAACACTTCCACCACGTCTGTTCTGAGTCGCTGTTCTAAATTCAGTTCCACTTACCTCCCCACGGGACAGACGCTGATTGAGGAGTGTGTGCTCACTGACATGTCATAACTGCCTCACGTCTCTAGGGTCTCCGCAGACGTCCTCCCCAGAAACTCTGCTCCTGTCAGTGGATGCTTGCGTCAGGGATGTTAAAGAGCCTCCGCTCCCCCATCCACACAGCACAGGCACTGCCCAGAGCCTGCTGCGTGGCCACGTCTGGGCACGAGCCTACCAGGCCGGCTGCGGCAGCCCAGGAACAGCCCAAGTTTCCGGCTTCAGGGATGCTGCATTTCCCCAGTGACAAACCATTCTTCTATAGGTGGACTCCACATGCAGGTTTTTCTGGTTAAATGGTGAGAAAGATAGTCCCACCCCTACCATCAAATACCCTAAAAAAGAAATCATAACCGGACTTTAAATGTTCACGTGGTCCAAAGGAAAAATCTCTTTTTCACAAAAGGAAATCATTGACTAGTTCTACAGTGAAGCATTGCCAGCCTGCTGGGCAAGTTCCTTGGACTGCCGGGGCAGAAGCACCAGGGACCCTCCCTGCCCCTCTCTGCCCAGCAGGCCCCTCCCCACAGCAGGACTGCGTCTCAGCCCCTAAAGACGGAGAGCAGCTGCAGTACAGGAAGTCGGGGGCTGCGACTTCAGGGCGGGGAGCCAGGGGAAAGGTCACTGCAGGGTTTGATGGGGGAAATTCTCAAAGGTGACTTGATAGAAGAGGCCATTTTCTTATGCTTTATGCTTTTCCTATGAAACATCACTGAGTGAACTAACGAGTTAAATCAGACCTTTCCAAGGATCGGCTGGGATGAAATGAGAGAGTGGCATGGACATATATACACCACCAAATGTAAAATAGAGAGCTAGTGGGAAGCAGCCACATAGCACAGGGAGATCAGCTTGGTGCTTTGTGACCACCTAGAGGGGTGGGATAGGGAGGGTGGGAGGGAGACACAAGAGGGAGGAGATATGGGGATATATGTATACGTATAGCTGATTCACTTTGTTATACAGCAGAAACTAACACACCATCGTAAAGCAATTATACTCCAATAAAGATGTTAAAAAAAAAAAAAATCAGACCTTTCCAGGGCCCACGTTCATCTGGATAGTCTAGTCTGTGTAGTAAAGTGCACCTGTAGGCATTTCCCCCACCCTGGGTGAAAGGATCATTTGCCCACAGGGCAGTCGGGTCTCTCACTGCCAGTCTCTGACCGGTGCCACCGTGCTGTCCTCCTTGGCCTCTGCCCCTCCCGTTCCCTCCTATGCCCATCATTGCCCCAGCCGGAGCACCCACTCCATTACCCATCCACCCACCAAAGTTGGGCTCCAGTTCTGGCTGCCTCTCAGAGCCCTGCCTATGTGGCTCAGCCCACATCCGTCTCCTCTGAGCGCCTCGAGGTCACAGGACTGCTCCACATGAATGTGGAAGACACCCCGTGTTGTCTGGTATTACTCCCCATTACCTCCTGTGTGATGTGTTCTCTCCGATATGGAGTGACCTTCCTGAGGGCAGCCCCATGGCAAGTGTCCCGCGAGACCCCCAGACGGTGCTGAGTGCAGGGTGGGGGCTTGAGCATGGGGAGCAGTGGGGAATTTGGGGGAGGGGCAAACTAGCAGGGGCAGAGATCCCAAGTTCCCAGGCACATGTAACCCAGAGCCAGTCTGTCCCTACTCTGGGAAGGGGTAAGCGAGGTCACACCCTCTGGGAGCCCAGGCGGTGGCCCAGCAGTGGAGGGGAAGGTGCCATTGCTGCTCCAGGGAGCATGTCATCTCCAGCTGGGCCTCAGCGTGGGGCCTGAGACACAGGCTCGGCTGTGTGACAGCCCAGTGTGAACTGAATGAACGACAATGCCTCTGCGAAGGCGGGGAGAAAAAAACTTTAGTGATGCGTCTGATGAAGTGGCACACAGACAAGCATGACTAAAATACATTCTACCCGGGATATGGTATTTCCAAGTAATTACATCGATGGTCAAAGATGCAAGGTGGCTTTGAAGATGTAGGATCAGGATGTGTTTCTGAAAGGGCAGGAGAAGTAGATCAGAGAGGAGGCGAAGGCTGATGAATCCATGGATGGGTTTCCGAGAGGCCAAATCTGGAGCCTGAGAGAGGGAAGAGGATGTATGTGACTCAAGTTCCTGCCATTTAAAATTCTTCTCCAACTACCACCGGAATCTCTCAGGCACGAGTCTAAACCTTCCCTTGCATATGAATCTCCAGGGGTGCTAGTTTAAAATACCCAGCTCAGATTCCCCCCGCCCCAGACACTGATTCAGCAGGACTGGGGTGGGGCCCCAGAAACTGATTTTTAAGAAACCCTCCCAGTGAACGTAGTGCAGATGGCCTGTGCCCTGGATTTAAGAGCCCTGTGAATCCTGAGAACAGGACAGAACTTCTAGCTGCATCCTCCTCTATTTTTCCAACACATCATCAAGGAGAACTTTAGGTGGATGGGTGTTTCTGTGTTTCAGGATCTTCCTGTAGGGACACAGGAGGGAGTGGCTAGCTTGTCTGCAAGACCAGACCTCCATCCCTACACCAAGCAGGCTCCAGTGCTTAAGGGAGAGATTCAGTGGGGGGTTATTCAGTTTTTAGCCGTGGAGCAGGGAGATAAGGCTAATTTGTGAACCTCACTTGGTTCAGAGTGGAAGGAAATAGGATACAGCCTCTGTCATCAAACTGCTGACCCACTCTTTGAACAAATATCTCACCACATTCTGCTCCCCACACAGGAAAGGGTGTTGCCCAGCGGAGAAGAGAGTCCCCAGTTGAATCAACCCATCTCTCTCTCTTCCCCTGGGGTAGTTTCTGATTTTGAGTCAGGTTGAGGTGGAGGAACTTCTTGGGATGAGAGCATTTACCAATCCTCAGGGCTACTCATTAATTCACTGTCCATCCATCCACCCATCTATCCATCCAACATGTGTTGAATTCTCTCTGAGTAATAGATCTCTTGCCACATGCCAGGAGCAGAAAGCGAAGAAGGTAAGGCCCCTGCTCTCTCAGCTGCACACAAACTGGTGAGAACAAGAGAGAGATAAATGGAGGCAACACAGCATAAACATGAGTAAAGTCCCAGCACAGCACAAAGGCCCAGCACAGCACAAAGGAGAAAGTACCTAACTCCTCCTGCCACATTAGAAAAGCTTCACAAGGCAAGGATGCCAGGCGTGAAGGCTGAGGAATGGGGAACGGTTTATGGCCAGAGTACGTGCACGCGTGTGCAAGCATCACACCCCTCTTGGGACAAAGGAAGGGCAGAATGAAGCACAGAGCAAAAGCAGGATGGATCAAGATGATTTACAAGGTCTGCAGGCGGGCTGGGCCTGCAGATGGAGGCTGGACCTCCAGCTCGCCGGTGCTAAGGGTTCTCTGGTGGCCTACAGGAAGCCACAAAGCTGTTCAGAAGTGGGGGATTTGGGTCCGATTAATGTTACTTGTGTTTCAGGCAGCCCCCATGGTGGCCGTGAGTAGGGCAGCTGGGAGGAAGACGGGGAGCTCAGTTGGTGGCTACTGTAGCCATCCTGACTGCAAAGGGTGGGCCTGGGCCCAGGCAGTGATGGGAGGGGATGGGCAAGAGGACACAGCACCCGCGGACCTTGCGGGGGCAGGGGCAGGACTCCGGGATGGCTCCCAGGCCTCCGCAGGGCCCTGAGTACACTCAGAGACGGCCAGCAGTGGAGACTCCCCCGGCCCCACCCCGATGGGGCCCGCTGCTCACCCACAAAGGTCCCAACCTCCTCAGTGCCCCGCCCTTAGGCCTCTCAGGTGCCTGTTTGCTCAGACACCACTGGTTGTGAACTAAATGCTCCTGAAATGTTTCTTATACACTGCAGACGTTTTTCTGCCCTGAAACACTCGGGTGGTTTAATTTGTTTTCTGAAATAAGAAAAGCAATTAGACTAATTGCCTTCAGAATGGGGCACTCATAGGGAACAGCCTCCATGCTGCAGGGGCTGCGCCTGGCAGACTGCTTCCAGGCCCATCACTTATGGAGCAATCTGCCTGTCCTGTCACAGGCAGGTGTCTCAGCAAGAGAAAGGTGTGCCAGGTGCTGGGCACCTCACTTCGCAGCCCCTTGGTGACTCCTCCTGCTGGAAGTTGAAAATAAGACCCAGCCGCATAAGCTAGGGGCGGTACTCACCCACCTAGCTCACTACCTCTGGCACCACCAGGGCACCAGGGCCCTCCTCAGCGCCACGTGGGTGTTACTGCTCCAGTGTGTCACCCATGGATTGCAGACGACGTCATTCTGCTGAGCTAGCCCAGACCTCGGGACCACGGTCAGGGCAGCTGGGAATGATGTCTGGACTCAGTTCACGGCCATCTGCGTTTTGGTTTATTCCTGAGGCAGCTAACGAGCAGTACAAGGGATGGCTATGAATTAGGATGTAAGGGGGTGAATGGGGCTCTGTCACTCCCCCTGTTTTCTCATGGAGGCGCACTGGAAGCTCCTTGGAGAATCTTACTAAAGCTGCCTGCTAAGGCACGGGGCACAGAGCTGTGAAACTGGTTCCTCTTAGAGTTCTAGCTACACTGGCTTGCTAAGAGCAATGCCTCCACTCAGGCACCAGGTTAGCTATTGAGTAAGCCCCACTCCCAGGCCTAACACCCAGGCTCCAGATTCTTCGTGCACCAGCACCGGGCAAACTCCCCTCTGATCTTACAGCTCAGTGGGGGAGACACACCTACCCAACCAATGACCAAGTGCACGGCAGGGTGACCTGTGAGCTATAACAAGATGCAGGAAAGGGTTGAGAGAGTCCCTACAAGAGCAGGGATTCAGGAGTCCTTCTCAGAGGAGGTAGCATTTAATCCAGGCTCTATTATGCTCTATGGGCAGAATTGAAAGAGGTCTGAAAGAGAGGGCATCTCAAGCTGAACGAAGGCACAGGTATGTGTCTGAGGGTGGCTGGTAGTGTCACCAGGCCAAGGGGGCAAGAGGCAGAGGAGAGCAGAGGCGGGTAAGGTTGGGAAGTCAGCTCAGGACCAGATTGTGGAAAGGTGGGACAACCAGCCAGGGGACTGAATTCTCCTTTGTGTACTGGGAGGGGTAATGTCTACAGTTCTGAAAACCATGAGCTGCATTGGCCAGGGGTGCAACGGAGTCAGGGGATCTGCCAGAAAGATCAGCCCAAGGAGAAGACAACAGCTCAGGGGCCCATAACCCAAATGCTGTGTTGAGACCCATCCATGCTGAGCATGTCCTCCGTTCTTCCCTCACCCGCCCATCAAAATTTTGCTGAGCAAAACTGCCCCGGGCACCATGCAGGCTGAGTACACACTGGAGGAGAGAACCAGCATGATTCCTGTCCTCTGGGTACTTGGGATCCAGCGCACTACCTATCAATAAACTGGTAAATAAAACATGATGATATAAACCATTTGTTTGTAAACATGAATTGGGATAAGGGCTGTGAAGAGAATGAATAGGTACAGGGACAAGAAAATAATGATTGGGAGAAACCTACTTAGAGGGAGTAGACCCTGAGCAGTGCCTAAGGATGAGAAAGGGGGTGCTGTGTGGAGGGCTGGGGGCTGGGTGAGCACTGCTCCTTGGAGGAGGCCAGAGTGGCTGAAGCCAGAGGCAGACGAGAGGGGGAATGCACTGAGGTTCGGGAGGTGGGAAGGAGTTAGTTCTCGCAGGCAGGCCCGGTGGGGAATTGGATGCTACTGAAAGGGCGACAGGAGCCACGAGACGGAATTACTTTTTAGGTCGATCGCTCCGCCACAGGAAGAATGGGCGGTGGGGTAAGAATGGAAGAGTGTGGAGGGGATAAGAGTCTTGGCTTGTCTAGGTGGTGGCACTGGGGGTGGAGATATGGACAGATTTGAGATACAAACACAGAAGGCAGAGCCAATGAACTTGATGCTGGAGATGGGAAAGGGAGGAATGAC